CTAAGAAGTTCGGGTATAGTGTATGCGGATGGTATTCTTGTTTCTGAAAAAGACTGTGCGCTGAAGTTACTCGAAAAGATTGTATAGGAATCTTCTAGCAATAGAGAAAATTATTCTAATGTAATCCTGATACCACATTCAAATAAACCTAAAAACGAATATACCGATCCAATGCTTCTACCCACTGCATTTCTGGTTCTGTTTCCTTATGGAATTGATGGCCACGAAGATGAATTTCGCAAACAACATGTACCATTTAAACAATATATTGACATTTGTTGCAACTTTATGATTATAAATTTAGACACCATCGTTCATTTATTTTTACTGTCTTTAATATTTTGCGGAGGAGAGACATTGTCTCAGGAACGTATTTAATGATAAAGCAAGCAAATTTCAAAAGAACTGCTGAATTGATTTCGAAACTAACACTGCATGACATGAAAATCGTGATTGAGCAGGAACAGAATAATCAACCTGTAACTAATAATTCTGTGCTTGAGTTACTAAGAAACGTCAATGTTGTCAGTGAAAAAATTATTGGATCGAATCAGTCACATAAACATCTCTGTAATAAGATTCGTGCTATTACTATACAAGATAGTGCATCTTCGTTATTTGTAATGATTAATCCTGCAGACCTCCACAGTCCAATCGTAATAATATATGCAGGAAGGAGAGTTGATATGAATAATTTGCTTTCGAAAGATTTTCACACTGCAACTGAAAGAGCTAAATTTGCTTGCTTTGATCTGGCTGTGGTAGCTAAATATTATAAAATACTTATAAAAAATATAATTGGATTTATTCTTGGTTATGGAAAGTCGAATGGTGGTGTGTTCAGTGGAATTAAGAATTATTATGCAGTAACAGAGTACCAGGATCGTGGTACGCTGCACTGCTATATGTTAATTTGGCTTCATAGAGCCCTTAATCCTGTAGAAATACGAGATCATCTCCGGAGTGAAGAAGAGTTTGGAATATGATTAAAAAAATATATAGATGAGATAGTTAAAAAGGATATTAGTTACCTTTTTCCTGATGGCAATTACATAACAGTTGAAATGTTGAACTCTGAGTATAGTATACAAAAAACAAGCATAGAAAAAAAAATACATTCATCATTTTTATCTATCCCAGATCCTAGGTCTTCTAATTTTGACAATGAATTTTGTCTCAACGTTCTTGCAATAGCAAAACATGCACTTGTTCACAAGTATACTGAAACATGTAAAAAATACCATCATAGCAGGGCAACTAACTGTTGCTTTGATTTCCCTCATGAGTTGGTTGAACCACCTGGAAAAATTTAGCCTGAACTGGGAATTATCGTTCTTCAACATCTCAATGCTTAAATAAATAATCACAATCCTTATATAACTGTCAGTAGCCACAGAAACAATGACATTAAATTTATCATGACAGTTAAATTAGCGCTAGCATATATTCACTAAATTACGGATTACATCACCAAGACTGATATGAACACGCATAATTCATTTCTCATGTCTGCTGCAACTATAGACAGATTCATGACTAAAGCATCGAATGAGTTATTAGATGAATGTATGATAAGATTACGGCGACTAATTACAATGTGCCTCAATAAAATCATAGGGCAGACAGAGGTAACAGGGTCTCAAGTGTCGGTGAATCTTCTAGGCATTAATGATTATTACACGCCAAATAAATTTGTTTCGATCAATCTCGGCTCTTTTGAGGTGTACTTGATTTCGCAATACCTGATAAAACATTTTTTTGAATCAATGACTTTAGATAATCAAAGTGATGATAATACTGATGATGAAGAAGAGTTATATCAAGAAAACAAAACTGATAACGGTGAGATGTTTACGATAAGTAATTTGGGTAAGAGAATAGTTGCGATAAATTTATTTATAGATTTCATGTACCATGAAAAACAATTAGAGAATATGTGTCTTTATGACTATGCTGTGACATTTCATAAGGTAAAAATGAATGACAAAGAAATAGATAAATTTACTAGACAGAAAAATCGTGATGGATGAGCTACAAGAGTAGACAGATTTCTTTTTGAAAGTGGTGAAGGAGAATGTAACGAAACCTGTGATCATAGCATTATGCATCTGCAACACTCAACACATGTACAAGTCCATTGGTGCCATAAAAATGAAAGAGTATCTGTACTGAATGGGAAGGGAATACCACGCAGAGATGATCTTAAAAATTCGTATGTTATGGACTTTGTATACTTATGCTCTTTAAACTGTAAAGTACTGTAAATGACCTCATAGTAGAACATGATTCATGGCGTGAAGCATGTGATGCTTTTTTGCAGAATCAAGATCTATCACCACGACTGCGGTTGATAATTGAAAATATTAAGCTTTTGCATCGATGTACAGAAAAATCAGAACTAGACTGTCAGTTATGTAAAATGTCACTTAAGAATTCTGAATTTGCAAAAATCTGATAAATAAAAAGATCTGTAGTGGGTTATGAAATACCTGATGACGATATAGAGTTGTTGGATGACCAAATTGATAATGAATCAGATAACATGATTTTAGACTCCTATATTATTATATGTTCTGAGTTGAAAGATGCAAATTTTGTCAATAATGCTATGTTACATCTGTATCTAAAAAAAAGGGTTAGTATTAGAACTAAACTAGATTTTCGAAACGAAACTAACGCTTGGTATGATAATGACTAAGTACTACCTTCGAATGAAAATGATGATTGTCTAGTCTAATGATGGCAGGAAATAACAACGTTGAGAAGAGATTTAGTAAATGAGAATAACAGTCTTGATGAACCTCATATATCTGTATCTTTCGCGCATGCTTCCAACTCGCAATCGGGATTGTATCATGTAGATTCACTTCAAAAGATTTTAGTAAATCTTAACAATGAACAAAGGAAGGCTATTCTGCTTGTTTGCGATCATCATAGACGTAATTATACTGGTAGCTCTAATAAACTGTCACAGTTATTGATGTATTTGGGTGATGCTGGAGGCACTGGCAAATCGAAAGTGATTGAAGCGATTTGTGAATACTTCGAACAAATTAACCAGAAAAAAACTCTTGCTATCTGTGCTCCGACTGGCTTTGCTGCATCTAATATCTGAGGATATACACTCTATTTCTTGTGTGGTTTTAGGTTTAGAGATAATGATGACGAAAACTATAAGTATAGCTTTCAGAGAGGACAAATGAAAAAGATACTTCAGGAATGCTGGGCGAATATAGAGTATCTCATGATAGATGAGATTTCTATGATAGGACAAGACCTATTAATGAAATTTCACGCATGCCTTAAAGAAGCAAGACATCTGAAAGATGACACGATACCGTTTGCTGGACTGAATGTAATTTCATAGGTGATTTTGTACAACTACCCCTAGTTCTCGATCTACCATTATACAAACCAAATAACATTAAGAAAATGATGTCTTCACGATTTACAGATCCCGTTAACATTCGAACTTTGATGAGTGTTAATGGCAGAGAACTATAGAAATCTGTAAAACATGTAATCATACTTAAGAAACAGATGCGTCAGGTTGATGACTTAGAATACTCAACGATGCTAGACAATTTACGATGTGGTCAAATGACATCAACACAGTGTGAAACTCTACGTAGTCGTATTATGACAGAAGAAGAAATAAATACACTTGGCTGGGAAAATGCCATATTTTTGGTCCGGAGAAATGATTTGCAAATTCAAATAAACTTTGAAGCCACGATCAATCATGTAAAGAACCACAACTAGCCTGTCTATTACTTCTGTGCTGAAGACACGTACAAAAATAAACCTATCTGTGGTAATATGTGGCGAACCTTTCTGAGCGTAACAGACACAGGGTCGAACGCTCTGTGTGGTATAATACTGCTGTCAATAAACATGAGAGTGGCTTTGACAGTCAATATATATACAAGTGATAGTATGGTCAATGGGGCCCAGGGCATGCTCTGAGAAATAGTATATGATGTTACAACATCAATTGTAAAAAATGTAAGTAATAAGTGAGAAAGTATTATCATTTTTAACAAACCTCCTAAATACGTAATAGTAGAAATTCTTGGCGAATGTATATGATGATCTTCCACCAAACCATATACCGATTTACTCCATCAAACGAAAATGCAAATATATTCATAGAACAAGAGATGGGACAAATATAGCTCGAGAATTCTAGAGAAAACAATTACCTATCACTCTGGCCTTGGAGATAACAGAATTTAAATGTCAAGGAGCTACAATGGAGAAAATTATTGTTGATTTGGATAGAGGAAATAAAAAAGCAGGTGTTTATGTAATGTTATCACAGGTACGAAAATTAGAAGATATAATGATACTTAAACTCTTCAACCAATTGAAACTTAACGTAACTATGGATACTGATCTTAGAAAAGAACTTGAGCGTTTTGAAAAACTCTCAAAAACAACAGAACAATTAGTTATGTGGCCTAATGCCACCTGTAATAACTAAATTGAAGACACTGTAAAAATCTAAATAACTTTGACTAAAGTGAGAAAAAATAATTGCCCCAATAAAAGTATCAAAATGTGTCGCGATAAAATTGATTGCATTGATTGTTAATTTTATTTATAAAAATTATATATTATGCAAATTAATAATATTAGTGATCACTGTAATTAACTGATCGATGGTTAATAACTAATCATGTGGAAACGAAACTTTTCCAGGATCTGGTGCACTAAAATAAACAATAAACTATCGAAACTTTGACCAAAAATTTTATTATAAATAAATAATATAAAAAATTGGATAACAAATTATAATAAAATAACACTTGAAACTTAAATTTTTCAAAAGCAATAAAAAAAAATTTTATAAAATCATCATTACTATTACCTATCACGATTCGTTATTTATATATAAAAGAATATAGAAAATCGACTACAGTATCACGTATAGACAACATGTAATTCAGACATATCACAAAAAAGTGAAAAACCGTATATACAAAACTACTCATCCAAATTCACGACTTTACTCGACTTCTCGTATTATGTACTATGGGTTGAATAACTTTCTCTTTACCCTTATTTCCCTTACCACAACTAAGCGTATTTCTTCTACTATTTTTCGTATTTCTACTTTCACGTTCATCAATATTATCTGCAAATTCCTTACTGTGTACAGTATTCTGCTCGCAACCCCATAATCAAAATTAATATCTTTGATATAAACATCTTCATTTTTGGCATCTTCAACTCTTGTGTGTCTTGAACAAGAACTGACAGCACCTGAATCTACTGAATATTTATTCACCTCTGCTGAAATCACATGGTGCGACTTTTCAACAACATTCTGATGAGCACTTAAAAGCCTGGAACGAACAGACCTATACATTTCAGATGTGGACTGAGAATCACCTGTACTAGAAATTTTCTTTTACCTACAGAACAAAACTCTACGAAAGAAATAATGGCGGCGTATATGTATAAATCCTCCTTTATGACTTCCAAATGTCCGACAATAAAAATTACCGATTCATTCGGACAAACAGAATTTATAAGATACTTAAATTGACTATTATGACATGGAAATAAGATTTTAATAATAAAACTATAATTCTTCCCGGCATAATTATTTATCAACAGCTTAAACGTTGCATTTTCGCTGTCAATTTCCTTCAGAGTATCTTGAGCGACGCCTACTAAGGAAGCTTTTAATAGACAACAATTAGAACCAAGATCCCTTTGAAGTGTAAAATGCATTAAAGATTAGAGTTCCTATCCATTATCCATTTATCCATTTATCTATTGGATATCCAGATCTGAATTTATTCGGATATCCGTTT